AATAAATGGAATAAAAGAAAAAAAGTTGTGATAACAACTTCAACAGCACAAAGAAATAGTTCCGTTGTTTTAATGAACCTCGGTATATTGATGACGATCCTCAAAGTTATATGCAAATGTAATATGAACATACTGAAGATTTTAGAAACAACGGCAACGATTCAAAATAGAAAAATATTGGAAATTTAATTAATATTCTCAAAGTTACAGAACGTATATGTCCACTTATAAACCAACAGTTACCTCCCCTTTAAGATCTAGGAGGTATAAAAAGCACCCTGTAACATGCGTCAGTAGACGACTAGTAAGATTCGTCGGCGATTGTCGAACTCTCTGCATTAGCAGAGAGGAACCCGGACGAGGATTTGCCGAAGGGCAAGGTTTCGTTCGGGGAGGTTGACAGGGCCTGAACCCGTCTAGGCGGGTTCAAGGGCTATATTTTTGGCCAAGCTTACGGGCTCGGAGATACCCACATTAAATCGGCCTTGTGCCATATTCGATCCTCGTGGGTAGATTGATAAATATAGAAGAGTAGTCAGATTAAAGTGCAATAAAATTTTGATATAAGTTTATTCACTGGTTCTGTTTTTTACTACAATATATTGAATAAATGGACCGAAACGTTATAACAACATCAACAACACAACGATAGCGTCCAGGTGTCTGAACAAATCTCGGAAAGGCCGTAAATCTTTTCAAAGTTATAGAAGCTAGATGTAGAATGGATGGACTGAAACATTGTGGTAAAAACGACGACAATACAAAGAAAAAGTTCAACTGCCTAAACAAATTAAGAAATATTAATGATTATTCTTAAATTCATCGGTGTAAGATGTATGAATTAAATGTTAAAGATCAACAATATAAAGATAGCCTTCAATTATCTGAATATCATTTACAATAACAAACGAATTTTCTCAAATTTATACAAAGTAGGCGTACAGCAGTTGAACCAGAACCCAAACTAGAGAAGATCATTATTAGTTAATTGATAGGATGAACTTACCTTCTAAACAGATCAATGTTGAAGAAAACATATTCTCCATTGTCAAAATTCAACTCGTGCGCCCGGATCATTATTTCACGAACTGTATCGGGGGATGCACACAGGACAATAACTGAAAATGGAAAACAAAAAGGAAATGTATATTCAACAGTAGAAATATATAAGAAATGAATATGGCGTCTCGGGAATAAGATGCTAAGGGGACAAAATCACCCACACAATTTCAATAACTGAAAGCAGATGAAGCTTGATAGCCTTCAGAAATTAAGCAGATAGAAATATATATATATATATATATATATATATATATATATATATATATATTTTGTGAGGAAATTCGGATTGCTAACGCATAAAAAGAGAATGTCTCAGAATATTTAACATCGAAAAACATTAAGGAGAAAGAAAATAATTAATTATTTTTAATATGTGGAAATGGTCGCGAGACTAGAAACCCGTGTAGTAAAATTATGGAAAATAAAGCATAATATCCACAAAAAAAATCCACATTACAACCAAAAACATTTTGCGGTATCTCTCTTCTTTTTAATATACACAGTTTTCTCTCGTTGGAACAACTTCCTTTTATATATATATATATATATATATATATATATATATATATATATATATATATATGAATAAGTGGCCAATCAGTTAAAACGTTCTGACCATGAGATCTGGAATCTCGCCATGGTCAATTTTTTCAGGAAGGAGACTTCCTGATATTAAAACATATATATATATATATATATATATATATATATATATATATATATATATATATATATATATATATATATATACAGAATGTAAGTGCTATTATCGGACTGGAGGGGTCGGTCCCAGCGTTCGACACATTTGAAAAATGCCTGGAAACCATGCCTCGTGAGTGAAATTGGGGGCCATCGATAGCTGTGCTAACACGAAGTAAAAAGTGGTCGTGTGCGTGGTCTTGAGCGTGTCGGGATTGTTCAAAAAACCATCGAATTTTTGATTTGCTTTCCCTGACGATCCGTTTAGGTGAAACCTAGGTAGGTTTGTCTGGCTCACTAGGTGTATCTATCTATCTATCTATCTATCTATCTATATATATATATATATATATATATATGGTGGGGGATATTTGTCTATCCCAATGGATGAAGTTGTAACTGAACCCATTCTAGTTTGAAGTTTGTTTTTTTTTTTTTTTTTCGTTGACTAGTTTAATGATTTTCAGATTGAATTTCTGGCATGGGGAATTATTATGGTTAAGGTAAGCCAAATGTGCTGTGAAAATGTAAGCCTACCAAATAAGTAGGTTACATTAACAGAAAATACATGGATTTTAATACCACCAATAAAAAAAAATTATCAGTGAAACAGGACACCAAAAATGCATGAATTTTAAGCTCTCCAACAAATTACCTGTGTATATTACTACCCCACCTATATTTTGCGTTAAAAAAAGATCATAAAAAAGCTAGCACTATGTTCGGGTTTATGCGGTAAGCCATTTATTGCGATGGAAACGAAAGAAATTCGACGCCAATTTTTGAAGAACTAAAAGTATAAGGCAAATGAATCTTCTCGAACGAGAAGATGAAGAAAAAAAAATATTTTCCTATTCTCATGTCTAGCCAGCAAATAAAAATGTCGTTTCCTTTAATTAGCCATTATCTGTGTGTTGTTTGCCTACAGCAAATGATTTTGTAATATAAGACATTCGCAGCAAGTGTCCGAAATAAATGATTTATATTACAGAAACATTATTTGCTCAAATGCAACATGAGGGAAACTAGAAAATACATGAACGCTGTGTTAAAACTTGAGACAAAAGCCGGAAAATAAAAAAAAGAAATACAAGGAGAAAATAATGCGTGAATAATGAATTCTATTTCCGAATTAATAAGTGTAAAGCCAAAATTAACGGAGTGGAAGCAAGTGAGGTCCTTCAAAAGATACTAGAATTTTAAAAGTCAAATTTCGGATTTAAAAGTACAGAACAGTTACGTAATATCAGTTCACCTACATAGGAGCGTATGTTTTCACAAAGAATGGAAAGTGCGACGTCGAAATCTGAAGACACACTGGGATGCCGAAAAAATTCCTTGTAAAAGCTATGTAAAGTATTTAAAAAAAACACAGGAAGATTTTGTTAGAAATGAAGAAGAGTACTGAATTTTTACATAATATCAATTGTCCAATATGGCAGTATATGTTTTAACAGAAGACAGAAAGTGTGTCATCGAAATCTGAAGATAGGGATGCCGAAAAAAATCACTTACAAGAGATAAGTATGAAATTTGAAAGCGCATTGAGAAGGCGAAAGATGCCTTGCAAAAGCTAAGCAAAGTATTAAGAAACAGGAGAAATTCAATAAAAAGAATGAAGAAAGGATTACAGAATTGTCACATATCAACATTCTTTCCATATGGCACTGGAGCTGGAAAATCTCATCACGGATGAAGAAGAAACTTGAAGCAACATAAATATATTTCAACAGACTGATGAATCGAAAAGCGAATATATTTAGGCTGGCGACTGGCTATACTTTAATTTCAATCTTATATTACGATGTGTTTTTGCCCTTTTTTCCGTAAACACTGTACGAATTTTTCCTGTATTTATAGGGTTAAGTGGTAGGCGTTTTTTTTATACTTCGTGGTATAAAAATATTAAATTATATGAATATTATATGATCTGTAAGTTTCAGTTTATACGTTATTCGGGACGTGATTAATCGATCATGGCTCTCCGCAACAGCCTGCATTTTGAAGCTCTCAGCTAGGTTAATTTTTTTGTATCTCTCCAAAATCCTTTTCTACCAATCATATACAGGCTTATGGCAATATCATGTTCAAACACCGACTCCCATACAATTACCAAAGATATGCATAGTTGAGTTTTGAAAGTAACTAGATGAGTGCAGGTAGTGTAATGGATAATGACTTAGAATTGTTAATAGGGGAACCGAGACCAAAACAAAAATTCCTTGTAACACCTGAACACAAGGATTATGGAAGCATTTATCAGCTTAAACAAAATAACGTACAGAAAAGATGCAGAAGATTTTGAAGACATCTGGAGGAAGTGGCCAAAACCAATGGGGATTTGATTGAATAAATTTATTCTTTAGTATTTTAAGATATATTTTTAATAATTTTGGTAATCATATCTGTTAAAATGAGATGCCAGTGTTATTTTCATTTTTGGTAATTTAGATGAAATTTTATCTATCATACCCTATATATATATATATATATATATATATATATATATATATATATATATATATATATATATATATATATATATATGTGTGTGTGTGTCCGTATTCATAGCAAACACACACATACTTACATAATAACACACATCATCTATCTATCTATCTATCTATCTATCTATATATATATATATATATATATATATATATATATATATATATACACATGTATATATAAACACACACATATATATATATACATATATATATGTATGTGTACACTCACATATATATATACAAAACACTCACATATATATATATACACATATATTTATACACGCATACATATATACACTCACATTCACATATATAAACAAACATGTATAGACAGAAAAATACATTTATATATATATATACACAGACATACACATATATATATACACACATATATATACACACATATACATATACACATATATATAAACACATATATATATAAAACACATATATACATATACACACACACACACATATATATATATATATATATATATATATATATATATATATATATATATACACACACATATAGATGTATGTGTGTTTTATTATGTCTGCTTTGGCACTTGTATATCAGACCCACACACTCATGTATTCAAATATTCACACCGTAAATATGTTTATTATCCTCACCATGTCTACGTTTATTTATCTATCTTGAAACGCCCTGGGAAGCGTCGTAATTTAGTCTCGAAAGCCATTACCTTCTATCGAATCTATCCCAAGATGACAATTGCCAAACACCGAGCAAGTTTCAAACTCTCACGGGAAGAATTTTTCTTCAGCCGATCTTGCGTAGCACCGAAATTTCGTCTGTCGTCGATAGCATTGAAGAAAACCTTTCACACTCCGAATGTTTCCAATGAAAAACGTATTCACTAGACATGATCTTTTACGAAAATGTTCTAAGCACAAAAGACAGACTCGGATATAATTAAATATATTGAGATTCAGGCTGTGTTTTCTTTAAACGAAACACAATTTCGTTAGTGTATTTAATTTTGATTTAATCGCCATCACACCATGAAAGCCAGTGAAGCCACTAAGACAGAAAGTATTACAAAGTGTAGAAAGTTTAAGAATAATAGTTAGCGGGAAAAGAAAAGATTAATCAAAATGACAGTAGATAGCGACTTATACTGCATTTAATTTTTGAAAATTAAAGTTGGCTGGAAAGCATGGAGCCGGAAGGGGATTCGGCAAACGAGTAGTGCATAGAACTTACAGCTACATCTAGCCCGGTCAATTGTAAATTGATGAGATCTATATGTCGGACTGGTACTGCACTTAAATTCATGATGTCTAGGTATCATAGGCAACAATTACCATGAATGCATTTATAGAATATATAGAGAGGCAACATTACGGTGGTGGGCAAGTGATTGAAACCAAGACGCCAGGCAAGGACCAATAATATTGCTGATTCTTCTTTGGATATTATCAAAGAACTCAAGGTAAATAGAAGGGGCACTGGACCATATGTGGCAGCAATTTTCTAAGCAAGGGTGAACGGTAGACTTATAGATATGCAAGACCGATTCTGGAGAGAAAAATCATCTGGGACGTCATAGTGAACCGAATTTCTTTGCAGCTGAACTAGCAATGGATTCCATTTCCACTTCATGTCATCTGAGAATGTTAGCCCGATAAGGAGTAACGAGTCACTAATCTCTAATTGATACCCAAACGTTACTGTCTTGTCCGAGGCACTCATTAAATTCAGATCGAATTATTAAGAAATATAAGATTATTTATTTCGTAAAAAAATACAAAAATATGGCACAAGTCCGAAGGGGAAATGGAGAGAGGTTGGTCTTCATTAGCTATCCTAGTCCTAGTTAATCAGAATCACGACTTATTCATTCATTACAATTTGCCCATTCAGCACAAGGACTCATCCATCACCTCTCAATCCTGCATACACCATGATACCGCATATTCGCAGGGGACCTACAGAAAATACCATTTTGTAAAAATTTCATTTCATTGTCCGTAAAGTCTGTTTATATGAAAATTTCATGATTTATGAAATGATGGGGTGGGATGATGAAATTATCATCATCGTCATTATTATTATTATTATTATTATTATTTCCTTACGTTTCTGTTGCAAACACATATCCTTTTGGGTTCCAACCAGAGACCTAAGTTCAAAAATGGCTTTATAGATATTTTCCAATCGTAGCTTAGATGTGGCACAAGGCCGAAAGTAGTGGGCACCAAGTGTGGATCGAACTCACTAATCAGTCGTAATGGTTCTAGCGAGACAAGCTTGATAACCATTACACCACATCGAGGTGCCCAAATGATTTTCTAAGCGTAGCTTAGATGTGGCACAAGGCCGAATGTATGGGGCCACTAGTGGGGATCGAACTCACTTTTCAGTCGTAAACTACCTTGCAAGACAAGCTTGCTAACAACTCCACCACGCCGAGGTGCCCCAGAAATGGCTTTATAACATCTTCCACTGATCATTTGTTTGTAAAAAAAACACACACACACACAAACAAAACAACTATGATCACGCACGTTTTATATAATGTCCTTCTTAATGTGTGAGCTGCACTATTTCTGTGTTCTTCATCAGCTACCAGGAATCTCTTCATTGAGTCGATCGGAAACTTTTACAATCAATCTGTGTGCTTCAACCACAACTGCAATTATTGATGTCAGTGTACCACAATTTTAGATTTCCACTTCAGGATCCTTGTATCTTCAAAGATACATTGCTGTCTGCAGAGACTGTCATGTCAATAATAAAGCACATTCTGTTCTTGTGGTCTTTGATCACGATGTCTGGGGGATTAGCTTTGATTGTTCTCTCTGTATGGATTGCAAAACCCTATAAAATTTTTACAGGTCCTATATCTGTAACCAGGTCTGGCTGATGTTAATCCCAGTGTCTTGCAGTTTCCTTCCCATAAAACCTGCAGATTGCCCAGTGCAGAAATTGGTCCAATCTATAATGCCAAGTTTTATATTCAGTTAGTGCTAACACTACACAACCAGGTACAAGACGGACAATTGTTTCCGGGTATTTATCAAAGAATCTGAATTTGGCTCAACATAATGTTTCAGTACGTGTGCTTGTTAATTTCTATTTAGCAAGCATTGGTCCTATGTAGAAAGATTATTATTATTATTATTATTTGGTTTACCCATAATTGTCTTTCTTCTTTCTCCCGTTTTCCTCCAGCTCCTCTCTCTTTCTCTCTCTCTCTCCCTCTCCCTCCCTCTCTTTCTCTCTCTCTCTCTCTCTCTCTCTCTCTCTTCCAGCTACTGGTTCTACTATTAATCTTATCTTTCATGCTTGTGTCTATTACACATTCTTCAGATTCTTGCTTTTCTTGTCCAATAAAACACGTAACATCATTTGGAAGAAATCAGTGGGGACGGTGAACTATTAATTTTCCCAACATTTTCTTCCATTTTTCCCGCCATTTCCTTTCAGGCAGGCACATCTTTTCATAGAATTTAATTATGCTGTGCCGTGTTCGTTCGTGTCAGCCTATATCTACGGCAAATCTCACGCATACGCCGTGTCAGCTTGCAGAGAAAGCGAGGCCACGTGTGCAAAAAGAACCGCGGACGTGAGCTGATACTAACGAAACACGAACGAATCCGAGCAAATAGCGAAATATTTGATAATGTATTTTGTCTTCCTGGCTTAATGCATGCAATCAGTATATGATAATTGAATATCAAATTGAGAGTAAGTTTTTTTTTGTCTGTAGGATTTCTGTGGTTAACAATGTGTAGGTACAAGACCTTTTAAATAAATATATCAACTCAATAACATTTCTGCTTAGAAATATACGCACATACCTGTCGTTGAACTAAACAAATATTAAATAATAGTTAACGAATATACTTTAAAATATATATGCACAGATATTCACTCCTTCACTCCGCCACCCCCCTCTCGCTCTCTCTTGCTCTCTCTCTCTCTCTCTCTCTCCCCTCCCTCGGTCGGGTAGCCGATCCCTGCTTACGCACCTTTATGTATTAGGTTGGTGCAAAAATAATGACGTAATAATGTCGTTTTATGACGTATTTTTAACGTAAAAAACGATATTATTACGTCATTATTTTTGCACCAACCTAATATATTCATCCACATGGTTGTGTACATTGCAACTATGCTGTTTATGGGATGGGAGCGTTATCTAGTCATGATCAACAGTTTGAACAATACCAGTACACACAAACCCTCGGTCACGATGACTTTTCACATTTTGCTAGCACAATCATCGATGGCACCCAAAGAGTTCCCTGGTATGGTTTGCAAGCAGTTTACAAATGTGTGACAAATCGCCTATAGAATCCGGGTCTCATAGTCAGAAAACGAACGTTTTAACAACTCGTCCACACACACACATATATATATATATATATATATATATATATATATATATATATATATATATATATATATATATATATATTCTGATATGTGACTTAGGTTCAAATCTGACCATGATCGATATCAGACTGGAAGGGTGGATCTCAGTGTGCGGCACATTTGGGAAGTGCCCGAAAACCATACCTCCGGTTAACGCAAGTTTTGTGAGTGAAATTGGATAGAAAAAACACTGCGGCTGCGTCTATAGCTGTGCTAGCACGAAGTCACAAGTCATCGTGGCCGACAGCATGAGTGCGTTGGTCTTGTTCAAATTTCTGATCATGCTACATAAAATGCTCTTTCCCAAAAAGTGTTATTAAAGTCTTCTCAGCATAGTTGCAGTATAAACCACAGGTGTGTGTGTGTGTGTGTGTGTTAGTGTATTAAATTGTGTAGTGTAAATATAACATCATAAAGAGGTTATATAAAGAATTAATTAGTAATGTTAATAATGCCGAAATCTCATGGCTAACAAGACTTAGTAATGTATTATTTTACTAATAATTCATTGAATAACGCGATCATTATGTGTAATTTGTTAGATGTTGCGAGGCCGAATATTTTCGAAAATTTCATCCTCAGTGACTAATTTTTCCATTCCAGGTAAACTCCAAGACGAAATAAATTATATAACAACCAATAAATAACATTTTAAAAACACCTTTCGGTATACACTGCATTTATTTCGTCTTGGAGTTTACCTGGAATAGAAAAATTACGCCCTAAGGATGAATACTGCACAATATATATATATATATATATATATATATATATATATATATATATATATATATATATATATATATATATATATATAACATGCAAATATCCACTACAAATGTGTACATTTTTGTTTCAACGTCAAAAAAAAAGAGAAAACTTTTTTTAGAAGTCTCATCAGGTGGGGAATTACAGTGTTACTGAAAAATCTGATTGGAAATTTTTATAAAATGTCTTCTTGAATTTACATATAGAGATGGAAGGGAATCTAATGCATTAAGTAGTCAGGGACGAAAGAAAAGGAAGGCAAAACGAAAAAAAGAGGAAGTGAAAAATAAAGAATGAGGCCATGAGAAGAGAATGATGTGATAAGCGCTAAGACGAGATAAAATTTGGCCATAGAATTTCGTTAGGATGTCGAATTTGAACTTCAACGGTCTCCTCGTAAAAATAATTTACAGCTAGAGACAGTTAAAATAAAGGTTAGATTGTTAGGTATCTTTTATTTTATTTTTCTATCCTTCATATTATTTTGGGATAAAACATTGTCAAGGAGAAATAATTTGAGTAATATATTTTTTATTTTTTTATTTTTAGGAAGAAATAGTTGGTAAATTCCATATAAAAATAAAACGGAAAATAAGATTAAATTAATATTAATTTTCCATTTCTATTAACGTAAGTTGGAAAAGCGGATCGATACTTTTGTATATAGGAAGGTAGTTATTAACAAATAAAAATAATAATAAATATAAAAACCGTGAGCTTGGATCGAAGCCCAACCATTGTGATGTTAGCCCGAATCAGTACCACTTACGCTATCCAGACAAAATGAATAGGCGATGGTAATTCTATGTCTATTGTTTTTATTGCTTCATGTTTATTTTCCTTTATCAAATTGTGTATTACAATGTGGCTGAATGGATGTGCTTTCCTTAAATATGGTAAATGTGACTTGAAGTGTTGTAAGATATGCCGAATAAAAAAGATAGTTTACCCTATAATGAAAGATTCACATGATTTATTAATATTTCGCGAATATTTGTATGAAAACTAACTTTTTTTTAATAAACTTTTAATTATTTGTATTTTTTTTAATTCTGCTTGAATATATAAACATTCCATTATTTTTTTTATTTTTATCACTTTTATTATTGTGATAATAGGTCTCACAAAATTCGTTAGATATTGTTTAAATGAATTCCTAAAAGACTAAAAGGTTCACACGATTTTTTTCCATTTTGTCATTAATTCTCCAAATATTCTTGTATCTAAAAGTTTTTATGTCATTTTCTTCCATTTGTTCAAGTTACAGATCTTAAAAATAACATACACACACACACACACACACACACACATATATGCATACATATATATATATATATATATATATATATACATATATATATATACATATATATATATACACATATATATATATATATATATATATATACATACATATATACATAGATATACATGTACATACATATACATATATACATATATATATATATATATATATATATATACATACATATATATATATATATACATACATATATACATATATAGATATACATACCTATATACATATATATATATATATATATACATATATACATACATATATACATATTCATACATATATACATGCATATATATATATACATATATATATATATATATATATATATACATATATACATAGATATATACATATACATATACATATACACATAGATATACATATATACATATACATATATATATATATACATATATATATATATATATATATATATATATATATATATATATATATATATATATATATATATATATATATATATATATTAGTAAGAATTTTAATAAACGCGTTATTGATATAAACAGTCTGGATATTAGATTAAAAAATGAAACAGCCAAATCTTGTTAAATTTAACAAACAAATTTTGCTTGAATGAATTTTTCTGATTAAATTTCCTTTATATACCCCCCTGATCAAAATCTTAAGACCAGATACAGAAGGGTTAAAAAAATGTAAAATAGTGTTACTAAAATGAAAATATATTTGAGAAACATTTATATTTAATTAGAAAATGTATTTTCTCAACAACAATTGAAAATTTTAAGCTTTTAATTGATTAATTTAAACAAACAGTGAAAAAAGGATTGAGGGGGTTGGTCATAAAGACCTTGTGAATAAAAATAGCAAATACAGAACAAATAAGTCACAACCACAATTTAATAGGGAGTGTATCCTTCATTTTTTTGCGAATTACTTTGGCATACTCATTAACTTCTGCATGAGGGTGCTTGGGATGCAGCACGAAGATCATCCACAATTTCAAATTGTTACTTTAATTTTCCAAACAATATTCTTGAAAGTAAAACAGAGTGAGTTTGTGTGTGTGTGTGTGTGTGTGTGTGTGTGTGTGTGTGTGTGTGTGTGTGTGTGGTTAATTGTGAATTTGGTAGCAATCCCTCCTTTATACAAGTTTCATTAGAGACGACTTATAATATACAGCGATTAAGCAAATTATTAACATCGTTCCTTAACTTTTGTCCAGTAGCTTATTTCCTTTGTTCCATTTAATCTTTATTTAAAAAAAAGACAAAAAACTATTTTGTAACTTTGTATAATATTTATGCATTACATCCTAATCTTTATTCGGTAAAAATTTCATTGCTAATCATGCATTACTTTTTAAGTAATACACATATTTATGTCTTTGTTGTTTCCATTCCTTATATTATAGCCACTACTCTCTCTATATATATATATATATTTATAAAATAGGAAAGAAGTCGTTAGGTAAATAATTCAAAGTTCTTTAGTATTTTTGTTATTATTTAAAAAAAAACAGTGCTGGATACAAATGTAGAGCCTAAATAATAACGATGTCATCTTCCGCCTTAAATTTAGACACCCCAACCTTACCCTGACTTGACCTCTTTGAATGTAACTGAGATATTGATACAAATTATTAACCCTTACGCCCCCTTTTTTTTAAATAATTGCTTTAGCCGTTTCCATAGTTATTTTAATTTTAATAATGAATATGCTTATAAAAACTCGTAAACCAGTTATTCAAAAAAAAAAAATCGCTTGAAGATGGAACAGAGCTTGGTAATTTAATTCAATTTAATTCAAATAATTATATTGAAGTTTTAGGCTCTTGTTTTGAAACATGAGAACTCTTATGTATCGATGGAATAATATTTCTAAATAAATAATTATATATATATATATATATATATATATATAAATATATATATATATATATATATATATATATATGCACTAACAAAACAATTATGTCTTTCTTTATATATATATATATATATATATATATATATATATATATATATATATATATATATTTAAATAAAAAGAAAGAACAGTAAGATATATAATCCGGTGTTCTTATAGATATTGAAAAATACATCCCTACCCCTTACCAAAATGTAGCTAATAACCGATACAATGATGCAGACATAAGGAAAACCCAGACACCCCTTGTCCCGTTGAAGTAGATTTATCTGTAACCATGGAAACGGGATTTTAGCTGTATCTTTAAAACCCAGTAATTTTAAAAGTTACTCCAAAATTCGCTTGAGGATGAAATGGAACTAATGTCTTTAATTTAATTGCAAAAATTAAATTTGGGGTTTTAGCTTCCATTTTTGAAACATGCTTAGAACTGTGTAGCGGAAAAAAAACATATTTTAAATCAATTAATTTATAATACATATATATATATATATATATATATATATATATATATATATATATATATATATATATATATATAGAGAGAGACAGAGACAGAGAGAGAAAAAGATAATTGTATTGTTATATGTATATACACATACAAAACAATACTATTATCTTTTCTCCATATATATGTGTGTGTGTATACATATATACACCTATATATATATATATATATATATACATATATATATATATATATATATATATATATATATATATATATATATATATATATATATATATATATATTTATAAATCGGAAGATAGAGAGATAGAGATTACAATGCATAAATAGAATATGTGTTTGTATTATTTACAATAATATTCCAAACAAAAGCGACGATAATGAAACTAATTGGAAAGGCTAAAATCGACGCGTTTAACCGAATAATTTCTGCTGTGTCTGGCTTCTTCCCTTTAAACATGAAAGACAAAACCGTGTGTAAGGAAAATGTGTTACTATTTCTGAAGATAATACTTTGCCACAAGTCAAATTCCATTATCGCGTCCAATGACCAGAAAGTACCTTTTTTTCTGCGGCGAACTACGTTGTTTTGTAGCTTTTCCACTTAGTCTCAGTAGATAGAATGTTAATGAATCAAATAAAAGATTTTGCTTATTTTCAGAAAATAACATGGCCTCATCGGCCTTCAATCATTCTTCGCGCCAAATCTTCTCTGCTTAATAATGTTTGTCATTGTGCATGCTTACCCGTGTGGCTAATGTCATTTTTGTGTCTTCACCTGCCGATGTGTAATCGTCTTAAAAATAATCTCGCGAACGCTGTTCAAAATAAACAAGTGCTTTTCTCATTAGCGTTGGCATCACTGTGGCGTCAAATAATCAGTTGACACACGATTAACGCATTACGTTCTCGCTCTTACGCACTTCTCAAAAGGTCCGATCTAATGACCAAATATTGAAATCCTTTGTGGAAGGGATTATTGGACAGACATTGAAATTTTCAGCACCCCTTTTGACGATGGAATTGGTAATCAAACCATATCATAAAAAATATCAGTTTGCTTATTTATCTATTTCTTTGCGTATTTATATATTTCCTGTCCCATCTGTAGTGGGTAAGGAGGTAAATCAACTTATGTTAGTAAATTTATGAGTGATTATTATAAAACATTTATCTGCATTTCGACAAAATTCCTTCCCGAGCAATTTACTTAATTACTCCTAGGTTTCGTAGCATTATATGTTCAAGGTTTTCCATGGTAGTAGCGATAGCGGTGTGTGAAACTCGCCACATCCCATCTGTGAGAGAGAGGCTGGAGGGTGGAAAATACTTCTTCTCCCACAGGGTCTCGGAGTTGCTCTCGAACTCTATCAAGACTGGAAAGTGAGGACCAGTCATCTACCGCCAAAATATATCTCTAGTGAGTAAAGAGATAAATCAACTTAGGTTAGTAAATTTATGAGTGATTATTATAAATCATTTATCTGCATTTCGACAAAATTCGTTCCCGAACAATTTACTTAATCACGCCTACGTTTCTTAGATTGCAGCATTATATGTTCAAGCCTTTCCTGTGAGGTACACAGATACCTGTATCTGTTAAGTGATACGTTTGGTCTTGAAAAAGGCCCTATCGTCGACATCATTGTCGTTCTGTTGCTAATCTTTTTTTAAGAGAGATATTTCCATTTGATTGTTATATTAAACACATCATTTTTAACATGGAGTCAAAAGCTGTTTATATAATAACAGAAGTAATCCATGTATCAGATATATCATTCGACATCTAAAAGGAACAGGTTAATTAAACGGTTCATTGGCCTCTATTTTAGTTGTTTTATCTCTGCTTTATTGAATCTCCCTACATTGTTTCAAGATTTTTGTTTCATTGCATCTTCAGTATTTAAATTTTCCAACACTACCGTCATTTTTGACAGCACAGATACACTAGTAAAGGATATAATTGTTTACAGTATTTACATTAGTCGGACTATTGTCCTCATCTTTGTCGCCATATTTATCACAACGTTTCGGCCGTTGTACGCTCCGGCCTTCTTCAGGTGGTTGGAATTTCGAACTGAACCCTTTATTTCGATCATTGCGGTAGACTGTTATCTCCTGCTAATTTTCCATCTGAAAGTTCTCCACTGCCTTAACCAGGTATTGAACTCACCTTCTTTGGGTCTGTCACTGGATCTAACCAACGCCTTTATCCACTGTGCCATGTGTTCTCAAGAAGAAGGCCGGAGCGTAAAACGGCCGAAACGTTGTGACAAATATGGCGACAAAGATGAGGACAATAGTCCGACTAATGTAAATACTGTACATAACACCTCATCTCAGAAATATAGACAGACCATAATTGTTTACATTATGAAATCCTGTCATTGTTAATAATACTGATTGCGTTCTTTATATATAATCATTAATTTTTTGCTGTTTGAAGAAATTCTTATTTACTTTCCCAAAATGTTGATGTCTGTCATTCTGTTGCTAATCATTTTCTTACGAGTGACATTTCCATTTCGCTTTTAAATTAAAAACATAAAAATTTGAACATGAACAGATATATTGCCAGCAATAATCACTGAATCATATATACCACTAGCAGCATGGCTCGGCGTTGCCCGTGCTTGATTCAAAAATCGTGCGACTCATACAGCAATCGCTATTACTTGACTTAAAATATTTTTGCCCTTCCTTGCCTTTAAAATACTGTATATTATTTACATTATTCGGACTATTGTCCTCATCTTTGTCGCCATATTTATCACAATGTTTCGGCCGTTGTACGCTCCAAACTTCTTCAGGTGATTGGAATCTCGAACTTAACCCTTTATTTCTCTCACTGGGGTAGACTGTTCTAGTTCCACGTAACATGTTTAATGGATGTCAGTTATCAGTTTATCTCCTGTTAATTCCCCTTTCCAATGTCTCCACTGCTTTAACCGGGTATTGAACTCACACTCTTTTAGTCACTGGATCTCATCAACACATGGCACAGTGGATAAAGGCGTTGGTTAGATCTATAACTTGTTTGGTACGCGCAGATTATTGACCGTGAATCGGTTTATCTTGCCATCGATTTTGTATCTGGTCGGTTGCATTTGACTTTGCTTTCTTTATTAAGTATTTTGCAACTAAAGTCGGTGTATTATACTTTACTTGCATTTCGTCATCTATTTAAAACTCCATTCTGATCTTGCTGGCTTCCTCTGTTATTATTATTATTATTATTATTATTATTGTTGTTGTTGTTGTTATTCCGCACGGTCTTTGGTTTTCTGCCTCAGATCTTGCATGATGGATGTTCTCAAGTTGTACGACTTCAAACAAATAGCACTTTTTCAAAGAGATAACACATTATTACTATTCGAATAAACATGTCATGTATAGGAAGAGAAAGAAAACGTAAAGGGTAAATTAATCTTATCGAGAAATAACAATAAAGTAAAAATTCAAATGAATATTATTATTATTTATATTTTTCTTTCCATTCTTATGGGGCGATGAGGGATCAAAGTTTCCATTATAAGGCCGATGGTCTAAAATCTTTGGGGTACCCTCTACTGCAAGTTTTACAGCCATGAAATCAGCTTTTTTTTCTTTCCTTATAGATTTATTTTCCACTTTAGAATATTCATTGAATGGTACTTTTCTCAGTACATTGTTCTCTGCATTTTTTTTTATTTCTCTTTCTTTTTTAGTGATTTTTCTTTTCTTTCTTTTTTTTTCTTTTTTTTTTCTTTGTAAATATTTTCTAGAATTTTTCACATTTTCGTTTGTGTATATTTAACCATATCAGTTCATTTCGGATTTCTGTATTTTTTCCTTTCTCTCTTTCTTTTTTGCAACAAATATAGGAATTGATTTATCTCGGCTACTCAGTTTTCTTTTTCTTTTCTTTCTTCAAAATTTATTTTCATTTCTCTTTCATTTTCCATTTATTTTTAATTATTTTATTTAATTATTTCTGAATATCCGGTTAACAACATGATTAGTTTCCTTTCCCGTTCTTTCTTCTTTCTTTCTTTCTTTCTTTCTTTCTTTCTTTCTTTCATTCTTCCTTCTTTTTGTTGTTCTTTCCTTTTTCGTTCGTTCTTCTTTCTTTCTTTCTTTCTTTCTTTCTTCCTTCCTAATTTCTGTTGTTCTTTCCATTTTCGTTCTCTCTTCTTTCTTTCTTTTTTCATTCTTCCTTCTTTCTGTTGTTTTTTTCCTTTCCCGTTCGTTCTTCGTTCTGTTGTTCTTTCCTTTTTTCGTTCTTCCTTTTTTTCTTTTTTCGTACTTCCTTTCTTTTTTCGTTCTTCCTTCTTTCTGTTGTTCTTTCTTTTTTTCGTTCTTTTTTCTTTCTGTTCTTTCCTTTTTCGTTCGTTCTTCTTTCTTTCTTTCTTTCTTTCTTTCTTTCTTTCTTTCTTTCATTCTTCCTTCTTTTTGTTGTTCTTTCCTTTTTCGTTCGTTCTTCTTTCTTTCTTTCTTTCTTTCTTCCTTCCTTCTTTCTGTTATTCTTTCCATTTTCGTTCTCTCTTCTTTCTTTCTTTTTTCATTCTTCCTTCTTTCTGTTGTTTTTTTCCTTTCCCGTTCGTTCTTCGTTCTGTTGTTCTTTCCTTTTTTCGTTCTTCCTTTTTTTCTTTTTTCGTACTTCCTTTCTTTTTTCGTTCTTCCTTCTTTCTGTTGTTCTTTCTTTTTTCGTTCTTTTTTCTTTCTGTTCTTTCCTTTTTCGTTCGTTCTTCTTTCTTTCTTTTTTCGTTCTTCCTTCTTCCTGTTGTTCTTTCTTTTTTGTTCTTCTTTCTTTCTGTTCTTTCCTTTTTCGTTCGTTCTTCCTTCTTTCTTTCTGTTCTTTCTTTCTTTCTTTATTTCTTTGTTTCCTTCTTTCTGTTGTTTCTTTCCTTTTTCGTTCGTTCTTCTTTCTTTTTTCGTTCTTCTTTCTTTCTGTTCTTTCCTTTTTCGTTCGATCTTCTTTCCTTCTTTCTTTCGTTCTTCCTTCTTTCTGTTGTTCTTTCCTTTTTCGTTCGTTCTTCTTTCTTACTTTCTTTTGTTTCTTTTTTCGTTTTTCTTCCTGTTATTGTTTCTCCTTTCTGTTATTCTTCATTTATTTCCTTTTACTTTCTTTTTCTTTCTCTTATTCTTTATTTATTTTTATTTTTTTCGTTCTTTTTCCTCTTATTCTTTCTTTATTTCTTTTTCCTTTTTTGTTCTTTCTTTATTTCCTTTTACTTTCTTTTTTCATTCTTTCTTTTATTTCTTATTCTTTATTTCTTTTTACTTCTTTTCGTTCTGTCTTTCTTTTCTCAATTATTCATATTTCTTTTTCTTTTATTTCTTCAAACATTTTCTGCTTCTTCATTTTTCTCTTTTTAAATATATTTTCCGTTCTCTCTCTTCCTCTCTCTCTCTCTGACATTTTTATTTTTGCTCTACTATTTAGATCTCTGAATTTCATGTCTCTTTACCTTTTTCCTATTGAAATCATTCATCTTGTTTCTTCTTCCCTTCCGTTCTTTTTTTCTTTTCCTTTCTTTGCCTTCTTCAATCATTTTTTTCTACTTTCTTTTCTTTCATTCCAATTTCATTTCTATCACTTATATAACCATTTTGATATATTTAAGAATGTTAACTTTCATATATTCTCCACCTCATTTTTACCATTTATCCAGACCATTTCACATTCTATACAGCTAGTTATGTCGCAAAGCCATCAAAGAAATGGCTCATTTTCTCAAAACTTTTTTTCACATTTTTATTTAAATTTTATTTTTCCCGATTTTTTTCCGTTCACTTCTTTTCCTGTGTTCTATTATTTTTATCATTTCAACATTATTCCATCATCACAGCTGTTGAAAAGTTTTTCCTTTCTTTACGAAGTCACAAATGCATATATGTAAAAGTACACGAATCATTGTAATTAGCCATGTCCATAATCGGTAAAATATAGAGAAGAACGCTAATAACGATGCCAGCTTTACACGGATTCTAGAATTTTTATTGATTTCCCTTATAAAAATTCCGATGGATTTCGCTTGTGAAAATTTTTATTGATTTCGATTGTCAAAATAGGCCAAACGCTATTAAATTGAGCACGGATTCGTCCAATGGAGTGTAAGAAAAAGGAAATGAGTAATAATAGAGATCTCATTTTTTTTATTCTGTCACATGAGACATTAATAATAATAATTTGCACAAAAATATTCAACTCAAATGAAACGTTTAAAGTTAAAAAAAAACACACACACAGACAAACACACACACATATATATATTTTTTTTTTCATGTCCTCCACCGCTTTTTACAATGTGTTAAAATAATTTCAACTTCTATTCAATTGTATTTGACTCAGAGAATTCACAGAAAGGCGTCATTTTTATTAAAACACACACACACACACACACACACACATATATATATATATATATATATATATATATATATATATATATATATGATGTCGCATATATGATTATTATGAAATGGACAAATTCCGACAATTATTTTAAGACATAGAAAATGGGAGGACGAATATTTTCTATGAAAATTTCTCGGACAGTTGTTTAATACTGTTTATTATAAACAGAGCATTTATTTAGATATTTGTATCTATAAAAAGAATGTATAAACATAAAAATGTCTTATATATATATATATTAATAACAAAAGATGGAAGATATGTGTAAAGTAAATATTACATGTATATTTTCATAATGATATATGATCTATTATATCGCAAATTTTATATATATATAATAATATTTGACACAAGAATCCCGAGATTAAAGTGTATTGCCCTACCACGGGAATTGTCTCAAAAATAAACAAAGCCGTCCTTCTTGGCATTCCCCTTGCCGATTCCATTGATCACCCATTTAAATAGATGGGGAGTGTTGTCTGGGGAAAGCAGCATTGTGGGAAAAAAAGCCAGGAAATAGCTGATCCTATGTTGAAAGGTACCAGAAAGTTAAATACTTGGTATTTATTCTGTCTCTCCCACCCACACTAAAACGAGTTTTGACACAAGGACTTTTTTTAAGTCGGGGACCCGAGTACGTACACCCGGTCCAGGAACAAAAATTGACGGCAGCCCCCGCAACCGTCTGTTGCGCTGGGCTTGGTGCGAGCACCGATCCCTCTCTCTGGTGCAATGAAAGGTCGCGGCCTCGGGCAGCTGTTCCCCAGAGCTGGGCACCTCTCAGTATAATTTTCCTTAGTTGCGACTCTGTCTTTTGACGCAACCGCCCTTAAGCGCACTCTGCCCATAGACAGAGACACAAGTGAGAGATGATAAATAACGTGTTGCAAACAATCCGTTATACTTAGTTAAATCGATAATTAAGTAATATTAGGTTGGTGCAAAAATAATGACGTAATAATGTCGTTTTTTGACGTTAAAAAATACGTCAAAAAACGACATTATTATTTCATTATTTTTGCACCAACCTAATAGATTATGAATATTTTTCCCTTTTTTTTTTTTTACAAAACTTAAAACCAATACACCACCACGAAACAAAAGTCACTTTAAGAAGTGGATTTCCAGGTTTAAGAGCAACCATCTAAAATTTCTGTTTTTAACTTATTGTTATGGAGTGGAGGTAAAATTTGGGATTAAGAGTATAATTAATTTCGACTGAAAAGCTATCCCTAAAATTAAAGCTGTAAAAGAAATAATCGTCCTTAATAAGCTTACTCTGTCATTTTAGATATTACATAGTTTCCAGGAATACCCCGGAATGCTGCTTGTAAAACAGATAACAGAAGCCAGAAAGACAAAACTGTGTGAGATGAATAAAATATCAGTTTATTGTTTCCGAAAAGACAGAGATGAGAGAGAGAGCTATAGAGAAATTCAGTTCCAAATGCCAACTTGAATGTTACAAACAACAAAGTTATATTTCAACAACATTAGCCTTCAAATGTTGATGCTATTGACGTCCATACAAAAATGCTCCCCAAAATTCCACAAGATGTATGGCCAGGTGTTTCAAAGAATCAAAGCTATATAAAAAAAAAAAAAAAACCTCCAGTACTGCTCGAAATCAAACTGATGAAATGAACGCTTTTTTTTTTTAGAATTAGATAAAATTAATTATACAAATTTGAAAGAAAGTCTAGTCAACAACAAAAAGAACTGTGTATCAAATGTTATTGATGGTATCCCTCTCTTTATGCTGAAAGTTTATAAAAAGAATTGCGGTTTGAAACCTTTCATTATGGAATTAAGTATTATATTAGCAGCCTGTACAAAACCCGTATAAATCCAGTTGATACTTGGTCAATATTTGAAAGAGTTATCCGATATTGAAATTCTATAGCTTTTGATCACAAGGAACACTTTTCGGCAAGGACCCCCAAAATGTTTGTAATGAAATACATCTCAGATATAGTAATACGCACTTTTGAGTACAAGGCAACATCATGGTCACTGTACAATAGATTAAGGCAGGATTTTCAATTACCATCATTAGCAACATTTAAAAGATGACGTCAAAAGTTTCAAGACTTAATGTAAAATATCTTTTGCTATCTGTATAAAAGGGGTGCATAATTCTTCAGGTTAAAGTACATATGAAGGAAATGTTATTATATCCTGGCGAATTTGGTAAGTCAGTTGATATCTATCTTTACTTGCTCAAACAGTACTTGGTATAATGTTGATATGTCTTAATGGGGGTCCAAAACTTCTTACATGCCTGCTTCCAATTTCAAAATTAACATCAGCCTTTTTTGCATATGAACAAATTGAGTTAACACTTCAAACTATCACCTTTCTACTAGTATATGTCTATATTTCTGTAATGAGGTATTATGTACAATATTTACATTTTTCGGACTATTGTCTTCACCTTTGTCGCCATATATATATATATATATATATATATATATATATATATATATATATATATATATATATATATATATATATATATATATGAGAGAGAGTGAAAAGAGATATATTATATACATATTCTGACCATGAGACGCGGGTTCAAATCTCTCAGTGTTCGATTTCTCAGGGTGGTTAATTGTTATGTTATCGGCCTAGCGAGAAAATTAATGCAAATAATATTCTTTGAGTAATTGATGTTATCTGCAGCATCCTGACTCCAGACATTCGTAGAAAGACCCTCCAGAAATCACTCTGTCTACTCGTCAGCGGGTATCAGCAATTGACTGCTTATATTTTATCGATTTTCTTTTTTTATATGCACATTTAATCGGTGCATTTATTTTCTTTTTTCATGAACAATGTGTGTGTGTGTGTGTGTGTGTGTACAGATTCAAATGCGTACGTGTAGAATGTCGTATTACGTCGTTTTGTTTTCTCTTTAGACTCACTCATTGACCTTTTTTAAATTTTTTTTCCTGTTTTCTTTCACTTGTAGGCCTTCCGGTTTTGTAGACATATACTTTCTTGATATGATAAAATATAGTGAAAACTCAGGGAGAACAAACACTTTCTGGTATGTTGTTGTCGCTAAATAAGTTGCCCCTTTTATCATAAAAAAAACGCATTTTTCTTTACACACATTTTTGTCTATCATTCAAACAAACCGCCGCCAAACTTAGTACACGTCACATCGGCAAAGCACGTTGAAAAACTTTTCACTTTGTCTCTTTATCGCCACTTTTTGTCTCACATAGTATAGCGCATCCTACAAACACACCCACATTATATATATATATATATATATATATATATATATATATATATATATATATATATATATATATCGTAATAATCGTCTATTGTGTTTGTTGACAAAGTAAGCGCCTAATATTACTCCTCGTGCAATACACCACTCAAAAACTCCTACTCGATATACGTGCAGCGATCTTTTCAAGGAAACTGGCAGCTTCAGAGCGTAGCCAGATGCTTGTGTTTATATCTCCTAAAAATAAACACCAGCGACTATTTGCGTTCAGTCAATAAAAGAAGAAGTGAAGAAAACAATTAACTGGCATCTGTGATGTTAGACAAGAGTTTCGCCCCTCCCCCAACAAAAAAAAAATGTAATAATATCAGTTCATAAATATCTTTCGTTCTGTTCTGGAGACCAATACAAACAGAAGATTTTTTTTTTTCACTCTGCGAAAGATTCTCACATTCCCAATGTACAGAGACACACACGAGCGCGGTAAACCACACACGCGTATATATATATATATATATATATATATATATATATATATATATATATATATATATATATCTTATTCAATAATGAAATACATTGTGCTACTACGTACCAACTACACAACTCATTATGGCAATGTTCAACTGGAAATAAATAATTAAAATGTTGTCTTTCGATATTGAGCATTTTGGTCGTTATATATATATATATATATGTGTGTGTGTGTATGTG